CCTCAGCTTTAAAAATCAGAAAGATCTGTGGCAAGATCAATTGATAACTTATGTTCAAGGGTGTTTAAATGTCATCATTTTCAATAGTTTAGACATTCTTTCCATATCTTCAAATAAACTGTGTATACACTGTTAAGCAAATCCTTTCTTTAGCGATAATATAAAAATAATGAATACTCTTGACTGGGAAGAATAAGACATCAGCTCAAAGGGGGAGAATCCTTACCCAAACACTGCAGGTATTTCTGGCTTTTGCTCATAATAGTCTTATTCTTAAGAGAGAGATACCCATATTTCCAAACAAATGTACAGAATTGTGATTTGAGGAAGGAAAATACAGAAGACGTGAAAGGGGGTTTGATGGGGAAGATAGAAAAACAGCAAACACAGGAATGTAAAAAACTATAGCATGGTAAAAGTAAATCCTGCCTGTTTTCTTTTGTTTAACATGAAATAATAACCTCAAATAAAGAGAATCCAGAAGAGCATTTTAAATCTATCGTACCTCAAATCATTATACTAGAGTCCATCATTTCTTGGTGCTTCCTCAGAAAACTCCCTTTAAAAGTCCTAGTGATCAGGCATACGGAATCTTGGATGATAAGGGTCTTCTCATGTCAAATGCCCTTTAAGGCTAAGAAATAGGTATATTATGCATTTGTGGAAAAGACTCCAAATGGTCTTAAGTTTCAGCCAGGCCAAACCAGGGTTCAAGATGAGGGTTGTCAAGAAATAAAAATAAAAATAACACCCTCCCATGCTGAAGAGAGAAGTTTTAGCTGAGCTGCAAGCCCTTAGGAACAGCAAATGCATCCAGGCTGGACACTCTTTCACATAAATGCAAATGGCTGACACAGACATTTCTCCTTCTGACAGTATCGAGACACACTATTATTTGGTATATAATTTACCGGCAATTAACATTTCAATGGTTTTTTTAGTAACTCTCACTTTCCATATACTCATTTCCTTCCCTTCCTCTGACCTCATACAGCCCAGGAATCTTTTATTTAAAAAAAATTTTTTTAAAAAAAGGAAAACTATTTAAGTGATGGTATTGATTGGGGGTGTGTGCTCACAATTTGGCAAACTATTTCATCAGAGGTAAACAGTTATCAAAGTTAACTTTAGCATCCACAGTTCCTAACCTAGTATTCTACTCTCTAAACAATGATTTTTACTCTAAATGATTTTTACTCATTTCACTCAATTTTATGTAAACAAGTTATATCACAAACTCACTTTTTCACTACATGGGTTTATTTTGAAAAGGAATCTTGAAAAATCTCTAAAAGAGTATTTAAAATCACAGTGTCTTTGGCCAAAATAACCTACATGTTGTCTTGCACATCTCATGCCTTTGCTGCAATAATGTATTTCTACCCTCTAGCTTCATACAGGAACGAAATCCACAAATATATCTTTAAAGTTCAATGATCTTTGATCTTTTGAATTTCAAAAAGAACATCAGATTTTGCTTCAGCAAGCAGGATGTTACTACTCATTCCTTTCAAATGACGTTGGGGAAATTAGCAGTGTGGGGGTTGAAGATAAAGAGGAAAGAAGGACATAGATTTTCTTTACACACTTGAAAATATCATCTTAATATTTTTAAAAGCAAAAATGGCAAAGCTGTGTAGACAGTAAATGGACAGAGATCACCAGAAAGACAATAAATAATCACAGAAAATAAAACTACAAATTCAAAGAAAACACAAAGACCATGGCTGAACTGTCTTCATTGGTAATTTTTTAAACTTTGTATTTAGTTAGGGACATGAGACAGTTTTTTCAGGATCTGATGTGAGCCACCTTACTCAAAGGTGCCTGGCCTTCCCCCAAAGCCACAGTTGACTGAATTACAAGGGGGAGCTAACTCCACATGGAGACACTCATACAATCTAATATACATTTTGTCTCATTGCTACTTTCATCTTTACTATGAAGTTAAACTCTCATCAGTGAGGAAGAATTTATTCATACCTGTAATTGCAGATATGCAGAGTACGAAAAACAGAATACATTCAACATGGCAGACACTGCTAAAAGACGAATAAAAACCAAACTTACCAATATTTTTTCCCTTTTAAAGATCTGAAGTATTTGACAAATACTAAACTTTTAACAGATACAAACTGCCAGCTTCCCCAGCCCTCCCAACTCCTTTACACCTATCCCCTGGTTTAGGTATAAATGTAAAGGGCTAAAAAGCTTACACAATGATTATTTCCCTGCCCAAACAGCATAATGAATAAAAGATGAAAACTGGCAGATTCTCCACTTGACCAAACTCTAGCCAAGCTCCTCTGAGCCCTCCTCTTAACTAGGCCTCAACCTTGGTCTATAAAAATTATTGGGTTGTCAGACAAGTCATGACACATTTTTGCAATGAAAAACATAGAAAAGTAAGTCATGACTTTTCCGACAACCCAACAGACTCCTAATACAAATGATTTCATCTACTCCTCTCCCCCAACATTAAAAGATCTAAACAAACACTAACAATTTCTAACAGCTCAAGGCCACGTTCCCTACACTGACCCTAGCCCCTCTTAAAGTGCCTGCCTAGGAAGCTCAAAACTGCCAAAAGAATTTAAGATTTGTTATAGCCAAAGCCTGACATAAGCCCTGAGCACCCTATCTTACAGCATTTTACTAAAAAGAGTTTACAAGTGTGAATCCTTGCCCTGTCCCTTTGAGATGTATACGTATCTCTTACAACTCAGAGGAGTTTTTTCTCAAGGATATGAAAGCCATTCCTCTAAAATATCATCAGAAGCACAGGGCCTCAGCCCTCTGTAGGAGGATAGAATCCTAACTTCCAGGGTTGTCACAGCAGTCTTATCATCATTTACAGTAGAATTACAACCCTTTGTAATTTTTCACTTCCCTGACTCTCCTGAGCCAAGATGGCAACCTTTGCCTACTCCCTCAACCTCCCTTTAAAATGCCTCATCCCTCTGCACAAATTGAAGTTGAGTTCAGTTCACACTGGACCCTTCCCTACCATAGCAGTACATTACTGAATAAAATCTGTCCTTACAATTTTAATTAATGTCTGGCTTTGTTTATCTTTGACAAAAATGAAGTAATAAAGAAGGAATGTTAAATATATCTCAATTAATAAAAACTTACTTTATATAAGTTCATTCAAATATAAAATTCTTTAAAAAAAAAAAAAGCATGAAGGCTTCAACTTCATGAAGGAGTCATAATTCAAGGAGTCAACCAATGGGCATTCAGAGGCTGGAAAAGGCCCCTGAGTAACTTCAAGCCCAACCCCTTCACGTTACAAATGATGGCTCTAAAGCCAAAGAGATTAAGTGACTTTCCCAAGGTGATTTCAATGAGGGGTTGGATTACAAAGGGGTAAATTCAGCATGATTTTCTTCCTGACTCCAACATGAAAATATTCTTTCCCTTGTTTTCTCATTGGTAAAGCAACATTCACCATTAATCATTCAAGTCAAGATCAAACATGAACATTATTACTCTACTACAACGTGAGTTTTACAATTGCACTGTACACCAACAACTGTACACTGCGGGAAGTTTGTCTAGTGCAAGTACACGTACAATTTCATTTCACTCAAGAAGACTGTTTCAACAGTCCTGGCAAATACAGGGAGCAAGTCTTGGTGAGGAGAAACTGCTTTCACACACAAGCAAAGAAACCAAACCCCACGCACAAACCCAAAGGAGGGCCAAATGATTTAGACAGTCTTAAAAACCACCAAAAGAAGAAAAATAAAAGTAAATTAAAAATCCTTTTTCTGCACTTACCAGCAAAGCATTTGGAACAGAGGTTCATAGTCTTGCTGGACCTGGGGCAAAAAAAAAGAAAAGAAAGAAAGAAGAGCTAAAAATTCAGTATCACTCTAATCAAAACATAAAGATGTTTGAAACACAGGAAAAGAATTTCCTGGACAGGCAACTGAACTAATAAACTAATGATAAGTCCCTAACCAGCCACCCCTCCCCACAACAAAATAAAAACAAACAAAATAAAAATAAAAGACAACCTTTTGTTATCTGTGAGTTATCCAACGCATTATTTTTTTCATTAGCAGCTTAAGAAGATGACACAGGAGTCAATTTATCCCACATGATTATCACATCCCCACTGTTCACACTGGAACATGTACCACAAAGTTATCACTACAAACAACGAAAACTTTGTAAAGAAGTAAAACTTTCTCCTCATGTACTCGTAAGTGCTCATTTATCTCCGTAACATTACTTGAACTTTTATCTCTTCTTCCCCCTCATTCTAGTCCTATTTCAGATCCTGGTCACACTATGACCTTGTTATTTAAAATTCTTTCTTCAGAGGTTCCCAATCAAATTATTTTTCATGTCCTTTCATCTGTTAATAATAGCTACAATCCACTGAATAATAACTTGGACGGGCACTTAACATACATTATCTTAATAATCTTCTCAACATCCCTGAGATGGCTATTACCATATTGCTTTGCTTCTAAAATGTACTTTAAAAAAAAAAATCACAGTAACATTTCTACATCCAGGAGACACACAACTGGCTACAAGCAATGAATATAGTGAGGTTAAGTTCCCACCACCTCCTCCAAGAGGTCTTACATTGAGAGGTCTTAGGAAATCAAGGATATATAGTCTCATCCGCATTTGACAGGTGAGCAGCTTGCCTGATGTCACACAGTTGGGGACTGCAGAGAAAGTATGTGACCTGGGTAATGAGCTAACTCCAACGGCCATCCTGCCATCCTCTGTTCACAACACAGCACAGCACCTGGCACCGCCCAGCAGCCCAGGTACAACATGGTGGGCAATCAATAATAACTTGTTTGTTAAGTCCTTCTCATTGCCGTTTGCCTTCCTGCTTCTCTCCCAAGTAAATTCATTCCTACAGCTTTCTTCCACAAGCCCCTAGAATGCTCTGTGGTGGATAAGTGGATCTATTTACAGCCTCCATCCTCAGCAACTCTCCTCCCAATATCTCAGTCTTTGCCCAGAGCTGCTCCTACACGTGGAGCAAGCCACCTTTCTTAGGCCCTCCTTAGTGAATTTTATAATTAAGGAAAGCCTCCTCAGGAAGTTTTCCCTGATGACTATGATTGTTCCCCAATGCACTGGAACCCAAGACCTAACGGTTAGAAACTGTCATAGGCAATCTGGGGAATATAATCAATAATGTTGTAAATATTTTTTAGGGGGCCAGTTGAACTCATGTCCTGTTGGGGAGACCACTTCATAGACGGTGTAGAGGCCTGACCACTGTATTTCTGAAGCTGATGTTGAATAATATTGTATGTCAACTATAATTATATACATATATAGTCACGGGATGTGGAGTAGAGTGTGGGAATGGAGTCAATGGAATTGTAATAGATAAGTATGATATTGGGGGTGGGAGGGCAATACATGGGGGGAGGGGGGTTGTTACTTTGTGAGGGGTGTAAAGGATAACTACTGCATTGTTCTGTACACCTGAAACTAATAAAATAAAATAAAAAGGAACTGTCATAGGGTGAAAAAATTAGGGAGTGAGGGGATGGTCATTACTTCTTTTTCCCAAAAGAGATTCTGTGTTAACAGGTGGATCTTTCTTTGGGATTCTGCTTAAAATAAAGACACCAAAGACAGTAAGTAAATTTCAGTGTCAATAAATGCATAAAAATGAATGAATGATGAAGAGGTGTATTAATAGTGTAATCTAACATTTTTACAGGTTTACTATGTGGTAAGCATAATACCAGATGCTTCAACCCGTTTTACCAAATGAGGAAACAGAGGCTCAACAAGGAATATAACTTGCCAAAGGCTACAGAACAAGCAAGTGGATGAACCTGTTGTGCCTACCTCTAAAGCCTGTGTTCTTTTCACTATGGCAAAGCAGGGCCTCAGCCTCCAGCACAGACGCTATGGTAGTTTGAGAGAATGGTCGCACGACTAAAGATTTCACCTATGGTAATTGAGTCAGCTCCTTGAGAAAGGAAAGCCTTTCGTCTGGAGGAAGCACAACCCTTGTGCTCCCCTCCAAACACATGTACACATAGTGGGGAGCAATCCAAAGCTGCCAGTCATTTCAGTTCCAGCTCACAGAAGGTCTGGGGTAAAGGAATTCCTTTGTTACTAGAACCACGCCCACCCCCACCCAGGGAAGCAGGCCTCGTCCAGATGTGGTTGCTATCGCTTGTCCATCAGTGCCATGAAAGCCAGAGGTAACTTCTTGATCACCTCTGCTGCTTCCCATGGCCCAGGAAGAATCAAGGAAAGCCTGCAGAAAACAAGTGAGGGCAGCTCAGCACCAAGTACTATGCTAATTTTAACATCTTGTGAAAAGAGGCCAAAGGTTAAACCTGACAAGCTCAAGAGACTGAAAATAACCACATAGGATAGTGTGAACATAAAAAACTCCCTAACTAAGGTGTGCTATTGGCAAAAAGTCACATCTTTAGCCTAAAGCTTCCTAGACAAAATCAATCTTCACCTTAAGCGATCCTGTCTATCGTCTTTTTGCACCTAAGATGACATCCTTGGAATGTCAGTAATCCCTGTTTCCAGACCAGAGCAAAAAACTACTGAATCCCTCATTATTATTCTTGTCCCCTGATGACCACCTCGATATAAAAAGTGAACTATTAACTATCTTGTACCCCTCTCCAATTAACTTTTATCCAATCCCAGAGATTTCCCCACTTTGCCTTCTCCCAACCCTCTTAATCTACAACCAATGGATTTCATGTAACCTTCCTCCTTTGATTCTACATATAAAATAAGCTGCAAACTGCCATTTTCTGGAGCATTTTCTCAATCCGTTAAGATTTTGCTTCCCGGCAATTCTCATCAGTTTGGCTCAAATAAACTCATAAGCTTTCTCTTAGGCTGGATGTTTTTTCATCAGCAATCTGTATTTCACAAAACTGGTAAAAAAAAAAAAAAAAGAAAAAGGCAAAATAGCATTTCTCTCTTCATCCCCTTATCTCTCTTCAGATACTTTATGTATTTAAAATACCCACTATACCTATATATTACCTGAATGACATCCATTCCACTCTCTGCTTAGGAATTTTTTAGCAACATGGTTACCACACAGGTTATAAATGAAATAACACAGCCATGTATTAATCAAAACAGGGATGTCCGAAATCTGAAATAAACCAGATTTTGGCTATAAAATAATGGCCACCGGTAATGCCAATTTGGATCACATAGGTCATCTGCAGTTAACTTGAAAAAACCGGCAGAGGCTTTAAGAATTCTGTTCCTTTCTCATGTTCAACATGTAAAACTTAAAGCTTTTCACAGGCATACAATTACTAGCTGCCCTAGGAAAAGCGTTGTGATCAACATGCACAGTCTCTGGACAGACAACAGGGCTCTCCACACGGCAGCAAATAGGAAAGGAAAATAGGATTCTCTTATGCCACCACTGCTCCAAAGAAACTGCTCTTCTTGAGATCTCAAATGGCTACCATGTTTCTAAAACCATGATTTAGTAGGCTGAATAATGAACAGCCAAAGACAGATATCAAAGCCTAATCCCTGGAATTTAGCTTATTTGGAAAAAAAGGTCTTTGCAGATTAATTAAGGGTTTTAAATTCACCCTGTATTATCCAGGTGGGCACTAAGTGACTCTACAAGTGTTTCTGTGAGAGGGAAAAGGGAGTGTGGGGAGACACACAGAGGAGACGGCCATGTGAAGATGGAGGTCGAGACTGAGAAATGCGGTCACAATCCCAGGAATGTTGAAGCGGCTACCGGAAAAAGGAAGAGGCAAGGAATGTATTCCCCACTAGAACCCTCTGGCGAGAAGTCAGCCCTGCCAGATTTGGGCCTTCGAGCCTCCAGAACTTTAAAAGAATAAAGTTCTATTGTTTTAAGCCATCAAATTTGTAACAGTTGGCTATAGCAGCCTCAGAAAACTAATACACAAGTTATGTCTCTGATCTCAACTTACTCCCTCTCTCAGCAGCATTTGACCAGATCTGTTCTTCTTGAAACTCTATTTCTGCTTTCTTGTCACTCAGGTCCTAGATCGAATTTGCCTCTACGCTCTAGTTTTCCTCCCCCCTGACTGCTCCCTTGTAGCCACCTTTGTTGACTCCTCCACTGCTGAGGCCTCTATCTGGACTCAGTCCTCATTAACTCCACTTCTCCTCGCTCAGTTATCTCATGCAGTCCCACAGCTTTAACTACTATCATCTATACACTAAAGACTCACACATACTCACCCTCATCCCAAACCTCTTCACCTTGCTCCAAACTTACACATCTGTTCAACATCTCAACATGAAACTCACTCAATTTCAAACTGGAACTCTCACTATTCCCCTCAAACGTGCCTGACCCACTGTTGCCCACCTTCGTAAATGGCAACACCTTCTTCCCAGCTGCTCAAGTCAAAATCCTAGAAACTAACTCTGACTTCTATCTTTCCAGAAGTCTGTCATACACAGTACTCAGAAAGCTCCACTGGCTCTCTTTCCACAGAACTCCAATCTATCTGCTTCTCTCCTTTGTCAACGCTTCTACTCTGGCCACCATTAACTCTCACCTTGGCCACCGTGAATGACTTTTTACTGGTCTCCCCATTCCCACTCTTAGCCCTTTACAACGATTTTACTCATAGCAGCCAGTGCAGCCTTTTATAAACAAGGGAGATCATGCTATTTGCTTGTTTAATGTCATCCAACCATTTCCTACTGCATTTAGAATAAAGTTCAAACTTCTCTCCACCTTCCCTCTTCATTCCTTACCTTTTTTTTTTTTTTTAGCTGAGCCATCCTGCCACCTGTTAGCAGCTCAGCAGCAGCTCAGCTCGGGCAGTGAATCAAACCA